TCTCCTGACCAGCCCGCTGCTCCCCTCAGCAGTGTACTTCGTAGATCTGCCTGTTCTGCTCCCCACTCTGTCTCTGGTGAAGCCTCTCGCTGCCCCTGAGCCTCTGGCCTGTACCCCAGTTCTGTATGCACAAATAAATAAATCTTAAAAACAAACAAACAAACAAAAAAACTTCCTAATCTGTGGTATATTTTCTCAAATCCTTATTTGTTTTTTCTGGAATTGATTGTTTTCTTTATTTACTTTCCTTTCATCCCCTTCTGAGTCTCGAACTTGGTGTCATCTACCAAATCTCCCAATATTCTTTTCACACTTAACCATGAACCCCCATTTTCTCACCTGTAAGTGCAATTGACTTATTTGTTAGCATGTCAGAGTACTATTACATAAGGGACACACACTTATATACAATTTTTTAAAAAATTGTCTTCTCTCCTTAAGAAATTAGATGTTTCTGGCGGCCTCCCTGGTGGTGCAGTAGTTAAAGTCTCAGGACTATCAAGCTATCACAACCTCTGCAGCATGATTCTAACCCCCCTCCAGGGAGCTGACCCATGTGGTGCAGCAGACCTCTCCTGTCCCACCTGCTGCTCCCCTCAGCAGTGTATTTCAGTAAATCCACCTGTTCTGCTCCCCATCTGTCTCCGGTGAATCCTTTCCCCTTGAACCTCTGGCCGACACCCAGTTATTACTGTATGCATAATTAAATAAAAATGAATCTTAAAGAAATTAGATGTTTCCAGAGAGCTCAATTTTATCCTTTTAAGATTCAGATAAATAACAACTACACCTTTAAACCATTTTAATTAGAACAAAATTTTAAATGTCCTTACTTCTCCCATCCACATACTAACCAGGCCCAACCCTGCTTAGCTTCTGAGATCAGATGAGATGGGGCACGTTCAGGCTGGTGTGGTCATGTACTAAATGTCCTTACTTCTAAATAAATCAAAATAACTTCTTAATCATGTAATAAAGAAAAAAGAATATGTTAAGCATAATGAAACTAAGAAACAACTCCATCATCATTAGTTATGAGCGTTGCTAAGGTAAGCACCAAATGTGATGCGACCCTAAGAACTAGGGGACGTCCGGGATTGTTGGCCCTCACATTAAAGGACCCCATCATTCAATACTGGTTTCTGTATTGACATATTAGTCAGGGTTCTCCAGAAAAACAAAACTGAGTTGTTGGTGGGTGGGGTAAGAGGAAAGTAAAGGGAAAAAGAGAGAGACTGCTGATTTTAAGGAGTTGGCTCATACAATTGTGGATGCTTGCTTGGCAAGTCCAAAATCTGCAGAGTAGGCTGGCAGGCTGGACACCCAAAAAGAAGGTAGAGTTCAAAATATGCTGGCAGAATTCTCTCTTAATTCTGGTAGAACCAACTCTATTAAGACCTTCTGATAGGGTGAGGCCCACCATATTATAAACCCCACTAGTTAAATGTTTATCTCATCTAAAATATATATCAGAGAAACATCTCAAATGATGTCTGACCAAATATCTGTGTAATGAAGCCTAGCCAAATTCACACATAAAATTAACCATGGGAGTTTCTATGTCAGTTTTCAAATAGCTTTCATATGTCTTCCTCTGTAGACAAGCTGTCATTTCACATTTCTTGCAGCTTAAGATGGACATTCCCTGAATACCACATTCCGTACCTTTCAATACTTTTTGCCGTATCCCAAGAAACCAGACAGTGTTTTTTCATTCGTTTGAAGTAAGACACTTGGTACAAAAATGAGAGGTGCTTACTCTCCAAAGAAAGTGCATGAGCTATGTAAACAAACTTTATGTTCATGTTGTTTTTTACTCCTCCATGGTTTGGGACTGATAGTTCTCAATGCCCGTTGAGCTGTTCAGACCTGTGACTCAGCTAAGTCTTTTGAAAATACTTGATGGTGATACTGGGCTTGGACCACAGTGAACAAACAATGTCAAGAAATTGTCTTCTTTTTGTCTTTTTCCATTCAGTGTGTTGGTAGTACAATTAGCTCCTAAACAAGCCACAAGAAGTTTGCCAACATTACAGGTTTCAAGTCCAAGAAAGATTTTTTGTTCTTGTGTGTTTTACCAACCTTTATTTTGTTTAATTTGATTTTTAAAGACCCTAGTATCAGTGGTACACTGAGGCCAATACCTAACTTCAAAAAGAGAACGCAAAAGAGAGATTCTCCTGGTCCCCCATATCACATCAATAACTGATGCCATTTCAATTTGAAACTCGGCAACCGTTTCACAAATGCCACCCCCCACCCTTGCTCTAAAGGGCTCTTCCAGGAATTCTCACCATAGATTCTAGAGAAATCATATAGCTGACACAAGCATGTTGCATTTAGATTTTAATGTCTTTTGCAGGAAATGTGTGAGAGGCACAGTGCGTATGCAGAGGGACAGAGTGTATGCGAAGGCACACCCTTGCAGGGCAGCAACTCCGTCCTTATTCACACATCTCCTGCCTCTTTCTACAGATGGTGTGATCAACTTGAGCATTCCCATCGTCCTCCCTCTCTCTGCGGATGACAAGACAAGGCTGGAAGGGTGCAGCAAGTTTGTCCTGACTCATGGCGGGCGGAAGGTGGCTATCTTACGAGAGCCAGAATTCTATGAACATAGAAAAGAAGAGCGTTGCTCCCGTGTGTGGGGGACCATGTGTGCAAAACACCCCCATATCAAAGTAAGTTACAAACTCTTTGGAAGGACTTCCTTGATTCATTTCAACTTAGGACGAACACTAATTCCTTGAAATTCCTTCCTGAAGGACAGGAAAGCCAGAGTCACAAGAATACCTTTCTTCCTTTCTTTTTCATATATTTGTGCATACAGATACAGGGTACAGGCCAAAGGTGCAGGAGCAGCAAGAGGATTCACGAGAGACAGTGGGGAGCAGAACAGGCAGATAATACACTGCTGAGGGGGAGCAGCAGGCGAGACAGGAGAGGTTGGCTGCGCCATGTGGATCACCTCCCAGGCAGGGATCAAACTCACGCTGAAGTGGCCATGGCTTGGCTGAGCTTCGCACTGCAGCGCTCCTGACCTCCTCACCACCAGGGAAGGCCCCACAAAAATACATTTCTACGAATGGTTTTACAGGGTTGGCCTTGAGAGATCTTTTAGAAAGGGACAAAGAAATGTCTTTCTGTTTGAGGGCCCACTAAAATGAGCTCCTTGGTCCTGGGATTTGTGTCAGCTGGCTCCCTCATCCAGTTAGTGGGAAACTGGATGAGGCAGAAAACTCAGTCTAGCATCACAAGTAGAAAACCAAAATCATAGCTGTGTCTGTGCCTGAAACCACAGCTAAAAAGCTCACAGTCTGTTCCTCTTGAAAATTCACAAGGGAAATAAATTTCTTCATGCAGAATGATTTCAGCCAACCACTGGAACAAGTCTCAGAGTTCATGTTCTGTGGCCCAGGAGGGAGGTTAATGACATCCCTTTGGTAAATAAAAATCAGCAAAGATAGTGGAAGACAATTTTTCCAGAGGAAAGATAACACATTTCATTAGTGCATGTTTTTAAATTTGAAAAAAAAAAAAAAAAAACAACATGTTTATTGCCCATTTTCAAAAGGGAAAACTGTGTTCATGTGATTAGGATAATTCTGAGTCTGTCCTGGCTGAAGGCCACAGACTAAAACTCCTCCCATTTCTTTACAACATCCAGTTGTTGCTGGTGATGGGTAGAAAAGGAGCAGAGGGTATTATGGAATCGCTCAGTGTTGTTTGTTTTCCATAAAGCAAAAATACATGAAAATTAATACAAAATCCACCTTTTATTAAAAAATAGAGCATCGGGTTGAAATAAAAAAAAATTCTACTCATTTCACTTGTCAAATTCTCTATCTGGAGAAACTAACTTCTAGCAATTTCTAAGGAATAGAGAACAAGTTGAAGTCCAGGAAACACAAAAAAGCCTTGTGCTAGCAAGGCATGGCCTTTCTCTGGGCCTCAATGTCTTCATTTCTAAAAGGAGGCCCAGACTCAAAATAACTTGGAGAGCTCTTCCAGCACTAATGACTCTGCAAAATAGATGTTGGACAAACTTCTGGTTTGTTTTGTTTGTTTCAATGATTAGATGTTGCAAGGTGGGAAGTGTCTTTTGAAGGCCAAAGGTGGGAAGTGTCTTTTGAAGGCCGCTGTAGGAAGTGTAGGGAAAACAAAACAAGTTTTCATTTATTGGATACAAGTATTCATTCTGTAGATAAATATTTTTAATTTTAAAACAATTCCTTTTATTATTTTTTAAAGATTTATTTATCCATGCATATAGGCCAGAGGTGTGGGGAGGTGAGAGGATTCACCAGAGACAGAGTAGGGAGCAGAACAGGCAGATGTATTGAAATACACTGCTGAAGGGAGTTGTGGGCAGGTCAGGAGATGTCTGCCATGCCATGTGGGTTACCCCCCTGCTGGGGATTGAACTCATGCTGCAATGGCTTCGATAGCTTCATAGTGCTATGCTTTAACCTGTTGCACCACCAGAGAGGGCCCACTTTTTTTTTTTTAAGATTTATTTATTTGTACATACAGAACTGGGGTACAGGCCAGAGACTCATGGGCAGTGAGAGACTTCACCAGAGAAAGAGTGGGGAGCAGAA